TGTTGAATTCATTAATCAGTTTTTTTTTTCTTTTACCAAATGCACATTTTTTAAAAAGAATTTTTTTTTGTTATATAGGATGACTTGGTCCTGGTAGAGAGAGCAATACCAGAAAAAAATTTAATGATCTGTATCTCAAACTAGATGTCCAGTAGTCATCATAAATTCAATGTATCCAAAATAGAACTCATTTTCTTTCTCCTTAAACTGTCCTACCATCCCAAATTCCCTATTATTATAGAGAGTAACACCATGGTCCCAATATTGCAGGCTTAAATCTAAAATTCTCACTATCTCTCACCTGCTATATCTAATCAGTATTCAAGGCCTATAGATTTTACCTTTATAACATCTGTAGAATATGTCCCCTTTTCTCCTCTGATACTGCAACCACTCTAGTCCTGGTCCTTATCACTGCAAACCAGAAACACTGTAATAGACTAAAATTCAGGTCCGATCAACAGACACCCCACCACCATTTCTCACACACACACACACGCACACACACACACACACACACACATTTGAAGTAGCCTTTGATTGCCTCCAAGATAAAATATAAAATACTCTATTTGGCATTCAAAGCCCTTCAAAACCTAGTGCCCTTCTACCTTCCAAGTCCTCTTGCACATTACTCCCTGACAAAGGATCCACCAATTAAGAACCGTCTGACAAGAGCATCAGCCTGCTAGGAGGCTTTGTCCACTATGGTGAAGTAATCAATGACTTTATCACATTCAAAGCTTTGTCACTGGGACCAAAAAGCATGCCCTCACCCTGAGAAAGTTTTTGCTGGTACATATTGAAAATGATACCCGGGAGAAGATTGACTTGAAGTTTATTTATACCACCTCTAAATTTGACCATGGCTGGTTCCAGACTATAGAAGAGAAGAATGCTTTAATGAGATCATGCAAAAAGGACCATGTTACTAAAGAAAAGCTGCCTAATGTTTCCAGACAAACTTGGAGCTCATGAATTTTCAATAAATTGAAATTATTTCCAATACTAAAAAACTCCATAATTCTAAAGGCCAGAAAGTTACCATTGATGTATACTATTCAATGAATTAATAAAAAAAATTCTCATGTTGATCACTCAAAATCATACCACTGTTTTGAGGCATGGGATTTAGGAAAGGAAAAAGTACAATTGAAAACATCACATAGTCCTCTAATTGCGCTCATTGCATCTGTTAAGGTTGAAACTTAAAGACTTAAACATAAACTATTTTTCTTAAAAGAATCACTGTAGTATACTTTTGGCTCTGCATGATACCTACCACACCTTACAACCATATGGTAACTCTCCTTGACAAAGAATAAAATAGCCATACAAAACTCTGCTCCACAAAGACCAATATTATTATTACTATTACAATATATTACTTCCATTAGGATTCACATTAAGATGACCAAAAGGCCATAAAGGACACCAACTATCACATATATTAACATAGAAATAATATCAACTTGGCACTGGATCACACAATGTCCAAGAAATGCAAAGTGAAACATCATAAACATGTTCATCTAGCACAAAACTGGTCAAACTTGCAGTCACAAACCAATAACCACTGAAATAGCTGATTAAATAGGGAATGCAGCACTAACACAGATGAACAGGTCAGAAGATTGCCCTAGAAACATGACTAGAAATGGGCCAGTAAAGAAAACCCAGAGAAAGCTTCTGAACAGGAGTGTTCCATGATGACCTGGAAGACCATAGAATTCTGAATGATATTAATTTGATTTTAAACACACAAGGTACAAAATAAACCAATGTTAAGATCACACAAAACCACGTAAGGATCAAATACAGCCTGAGTCACCTATGTAAGAGTGTGGGAAGTTGTAAAGCTTACCAGTGGTACAAAATCCAAAATGAGGACCTCAAGGTGAACACACAAGCAAACAGAAGACAATGAATGTAATTAAGAAATGTTATTGGTTAAAAGTTACCTAAAAGTTAAAACAAGAAGAAAGAAAATTTATAAAAACAACAATAAGACTCTAAGAGAAAAAAGGATTATCTTGGTCAAAATAACAATAAGAGTACCTGCAAAATAAAGAATAGATTTAAAAAGTGGGAACTGTAAGTAAAATGAATGCTCCACTGAAAAGAATAGAAAGGAAAATGAATAAGTTGTTCAAAAAGGTACAAAATCTTGAAAAATGTTATTTCTGTGAAAATCAGGAGGTAACAAAGATAGATTGATACAATGTTACAAATGTATTTCAACACAAACAATAACAGAAAAATTTAAAATGTAAATGTTGATCTCATATCAAACAGCTAACTTCAAAAATCATTCAAAAATCATTTAAGAATCATCAGTTTAGCCCAAAGGGCAATCAAACTGTGCATACCCTTTGATCCAGCAATACCACTACTAGGTCTATATCCCAAAGAGTCATTCAAAAGAGAAAAGGACCTACATGTACAAAAATATTTAAAGCAGCTCTTTTTGTGGTGGACAAGAATTGGAAGTCGAAGGGATGCCCATCAAATGGGGAATGGCTGAACAAGTTCTGGTATATTAATGTAATGGAATACTATCGTGTGCTATAAGAAGTTATGAGCAGGCAGATTTCAGAAAAACCTGGAAAGACTTACATGAACTGATGCTGAGTGAAGTGAGCAGAATCAGGAGAACATTGTACACAGTAATAGCAATATTATGCGATTATCAACTACGATAGACTTAGCTCTTCTCAGCAAAACAATTATCTAAGACAATTACAAAAGACTCATGGTGAAACATGCTATTCACATCCAGAAAAAGATCTATGAAATCTGAATGCAGATCAAAGCATACTATTATGACTTTTTCTTCATTTTTTTCATGGTTTTTCCCTTTTGTTCTGTTTCTTATTTTGTAACATGACTAATGTGGACATATTTTAACATGATTGCACATGTATAACCAATATCAGATTGCCTTTGTCTTGGGGAAGAGTTAGGGAAGGGAGAAAGGGGGAAAATTTGGAGTTCAAAATCTTATAAAAAGGAATGCTGAAATTTATCTTTACATGTAATTGGAAAAAATAAAATACTATTTATTACAGTATCAACAGATCACTAGAAAACCATAAAAACTCCAAAGCTCACAAAACTATAGGACAGCTTATTTTAAAAAATCATAAGTGAAAAGTAAAAAAAAAATTACTAAAGTCTCTAGCCATTTCTTCCTAAAAGAAAATGAAAAATGAACCTTCCAAAAAAGTCACAGCCAAAATTTATGTTTTCCAATTCAAAGAACAAGCACTCCAATCATCAAAAAGTCTCATAGTGGTATATAGAGTCTATGCACATTCTTCCTATGAGGCTGAAAGAAAATCTTTTAAAAGAGAATTTTCTGTAGAGTTCCAACAATTTTTCTGGAAAGTGAAAACTAGAACATAGGACACTAGTTTATAAAGCTAAATATAGCTGGCAAAACTTATCTACAAATTTTAACAATTAACTTTTATCTACTCAGCAACTCTAGAAAGAGACTGCAATTATTATCACCATTTACCAGAGGTGGAAAATAAAGCCAAGGAGATTAAGTGACTTTTCTGGGATTACAAAGATAGTTCATGTCTATGGGAAGATTTGAACTCAGGTCTTCCTGACTTACAGCCCCAAATTTTTACAAATTGTTGTAATAGCTTCTAAGGAGCTATAAATAAGGAACTGGAACAAAGAGATGGGCAGATTGGTTAGAACATAGAGATTGAGAAGGAGAGCAAAGAACTGAGCTTGTAAAGACTACTTGGTGTCAGGAATGGATTTAATGCCAGTTTTGGAAATTTGTATTTTATCCTAGAGGGAATAGAGAACAACTTGAGTTTTTGGTGTAATGGAACACTTGTATGAGTTGTAAGCAACAAAAGCAATATTCAAGTTTTTTTTTCTCTACTTATAGATCCAATGGTTTTTCTACTAGTCCAAAATGCCATAAAGAAAATTACATTCTCACAAGTGCAAGAATTTGAACTTCTCAAAAATATGAATATGAATATAAATATAAATATAAATCTCATTTTCATGCAGATTTCAGATTTAAAAGCCTGTAAACATAGTCTAGATTCTTAATTTCATTACTGAAAATAGGTACAGTCTGTCAACTGAAAACATGCATGGCTTCCTTCCACAAAGTCTTATTATGTGTGAGAAGTAAATGAGCATGAAATAGAATTTGGAAAATATTGCCCCAAAACTCAAGTTGGTAATATACTTCTATAATCTAATATATAGAAAATGTTGAGGGGAGGGATCTGAAAATGATTCTATAACAGTTGCCTTGTGGTAGAAGGAGTTTTTATTTCTCTCAATTCAGAGATAATACTCATTTCTCCCCAAATTTACTTTTACCAGAAATATTATGGTGGGGAAAACAGTAATTCTCCTAAAATGTAATAGAGATAAAGTAGGTCATTTGTACTATCCTGAAATAGCCCCGGGACTCACAGTGCCCAGATACATTTCCTTTTCAAACCATAAGAAGTAATTTCAGACAACTCCAGAAGAAATTGGTTGTTCCCCATCCATTATGTTACCAAATCACCCAGATACAGTTGTCCTTTCAAGTATAATCATATTAACAATGTCAAGTTATTACTGATACCAGGTCTACCTCCTTAACAAGAAACATTGGGCCCTAACATGATCAATAGCATAGAAGATTTGAAAGCAGGAAGAATTTGATTTGAATATTCCTGCATAGACTGTGTGATTTTGAGAAAGTCACCTAAGTTCTTTATGTCTCAGGTTCCTCACTTTAAAAAAGGAATATTAACCATTCCTACCTCACATGGTTTCAATGAGCTGCAAATGACAGAAAGTAGTGGAAGTGTTTTACAAACATCAAAGTAATTATAAGCTATTGTTTTTATTGCTGTCATGATTGTATATCTTAGAACATCCTTTGTAATTATAATTGATGTCACCTCAAGTTTCAAAATAAAGTATCAAAACTTGTGCACTGATTAGACAATTCTAGCCTTAATAATACAGGGTTTGCTTTGGCAGCTCATATGCTAAAATTAGAATGGCGCAAAGATTAGCATGGGCCCTGTGCAAGGATGACATGAAAATTTGGAAGCATTCCATATTAGACTTGGAAAAAAATTTAAAGTAAATTTCTCTGATAAAGGCCTCATATGTTAAATATATAGGTAACTGAGCCAAATTTATTAAAATAAGAGCCATTTTCCAATTGATAAATGGTCAAAGCATATGAACAGGTAGTTTTCAAAAGAAGAAATAAATTATCAATAGTCACATGAAAAAATGCTCTAAATCAGTATTGATTTGAGAAATAAAGTTGAAACAATTCCAAAGTACTACTTCATACCTAACAGAGTAGCTAGCATGACAGAAAAAGGAAATATTAAAGCTGGAGGGGACATGGAAAAGTAAAAACTCTAATGCATTGTTGGTGGAGTCATAACCAGTCCAACGATTCTGGAAAACATATCAGAAAGATATAAAATTGTGCATACCTTTTAATAGGAATATTACTATTAGGTTTGTATCCCAAAGAGAAGAAAGAAAGGAGAAAAAGACCCATATGTACAAAATTATTTATAATGGTTCTTTCTGTGGTGGCAAAGAATTAGAAATCAAGGGGATGCCCATCAATTGGGGAATGATTGAACAAGTTGTGACATATGAATGTAATGGAATACTATTGTGCTATTAAGAATTGTTGAGCAGGATGGTTTCAGAAAAACCTGGGAAGTCTTATGTGAACTGATGTAAAGTAAAGTAAGTAGAACCAGAACAATGTAAATAGTAACAGCAATATTGTAAGGATAAGCAACTGTGAAAGACTTAGCTATTCTGATGAATTATCCAAAATAATTCAAAAAGAGCCATGATGAAAAATGCTATCCATGTTCAGAGACAGAACTGATTACCTCTGAGTGCAGATCGAAGCATACATTTTTCACTTTATTTTTCTCCTTTTTTTTGTGTGTGTTTTCTTTTGCACCATGGGTACTATGAAATTATGTTTTCCATAACTTTATATGTATAATTGCTATCATACTACTTACTTAACCAATGGGTATGGGAAGGGTTTGAGGTGAAAGAGAGAATTTGGAACCTAAAAAGTTTTTAAAATGAAATGTTAAAAACATTTAAAAAATGTAATTGAAAAATACTAGTGAAATAAAAATACACTAAAAAAATATGGTATAGTAGAAATAGTACTGAGTTTGGAATACCTCTAGTAAAATCCTAAATGAGCCACTTACAAATGCTTTCCACATCATAGCAAATTGCCTCCTGCTTGGCTTTTCACTCTTCTGAGTATACTCAAAGAACAATTCTTAGTAAAGCCTTTTAATGAAATAACAGTTTAACAAATATAATAACAAGAGCATTACTTCCCATAAAACGTGAGCTCTGTATTTTACAAATACACAAACTCTCAGGAGAAAGAGTAGAAATACATAGTGATTGCTTACGGGGCATAAATAGACAATAATTAGACTCTAGGTCTATTCTACCAAGTCATATAAGCACTAGCTTTCTGTATCTCACACTCAGAATTCTAGGTATAATGCCAAACAATCATATTGTCCTTTAGCTCCAATAGATTAAAAACCAAATTCCAGTATTATCCCAACAGAAATCACCAATTACATTTAGAATCATTCCTATATCATTGATTTACTAAGAGATTATTGATATCTCAAAGATATCATTGAAAACAATTAGTATTAATTTTACCTTTTACAAAGGGATATTTAGAAGAAAAAGAGACTATAAATACCATAATGGTTTTAGATAACAGAAAAGGACATTTTGAAACTTGATACAGCCTTACATTGATAGATTAACAGTAAACAAACAAACAAACAAAAAAACCAACAAATCTTTAGTGCACATAATAGGAGTTAAATATCTTTAGATACCACTAGGTGTTTAGAAACTACATTGGGGAAAATTTCTCTTCTCTACCTCAAACATTGACATTATAGGTTTCAATCTTGCTTATTGAAGGTATCTCCAGGAAGGATACCTTTATGCAAACAAGTAATTAGTAACATAAAATCTAATTGATAAAGACAATCAAATACAGAAGAGTACAGGGATTAAAGAGAACAAAGCTTCTCAAACATACCTCAATAAGACAACAATCAAGACTAGTAAGAGAAGATAAATGGGAACAATTAAGGAAAATAAAAACAAATAATAGTTTTCTATGAGCAGAAATACAATAAAATTGAATGATATTACAGAGAAACAGAATCAGCTAAAGAGGCAGTAGTGAAATTCTGTCATTCAATTGTTTCATTAATGCCTGACTTTTTGTGACCCAATTTGGGGTTTTCTTGGCAAAGATACTAGAGTTCTTTGCCCTTTCCTTCTCCAACTCATTTTAATAATGAGGTACTGAGGCAAACAGGGTGAAGTGACTTGCCCAGAGTCACACAGCTAGCAAGTTTCTAAGGCCATATTTAAACTCTGATCTTCTGACTCCAGGGCTAGCACTCTATTCACTGCGCCAGATTTCTGTGACTGCCAAAAAAAAAAAAAACAGCAAAAAATATACCAAAAGATGGTTACAGGTATTCCACATTCAATAAAAATTAGAAAGAATTTGCAATTGTAATAAAATCAGAGGACTAAAAGAAACCTGAGGTTAAAAAGAAATTAATTCAGAACTAAAATATTATCTTAAAAATGAATGAAGGGGCAACTTGGTGGTACAGTGGACAGAGCACTGGCTCTGAAGTCAGGAGAACCTGAGTTTAAATCTGACCTCAGACACTTGACACTTAATAGCTGTGTGATGCTGGGCAAGTCACTTAACCCCATTGCCTAGACAAAAGGGAGAAAAACGAATGGAACAGGAAGGAAATAAATAAGATAAAGAGGGTAGAAATATTAATAGAAATAGGGACAAATTTCCCACGCTGGAAAATGCAACTGCACAGCACACAAGAGTGAATAGCTGAAAAAAAGATTCTCCAATAACTTAATTTTTCACATTCTTATGGAGTAATAAAATATTTATGCATAAAAACATTGATGACATCATAAAAAAGCTGTTTTAGGATTATGACATCAGAAAGGAGCTAGAACTATAACAGAAACAAGATACTGTAATTCAGGAAATTTTCAAAAAGCTTCTCAGAAGTAAAAAGAGAAACCATGAGATTGAAATATGCAAGAATCTAACATTCATCATGCCTGGTCATATCACAGTTCGAACTCCACAATTTCAATTTTTTTAGGCTAAAAACTATGAGATCACATCATCATATATACTACATGCCTAGGTAACACCTTCTGAAATCTTACTGGAATGACAGGTAGGATCCCCCACAGGGCAGTTATTAAGTGGTAACAGAAAATAAGACGATCCACAGAATTTGGATGGTACCTATAATGTTATGTCCTCCATCGATTATAACTCAGTCAGAGTTACTTTTTTGAACAAGCATATAATAAGAACATTCCACCCAGAAGACTGTGACGAAAAATCTTCAACCAATACATAAAAAAATTCAGAGGAAAGTAGGTTCAAGCATACATGTGGGAGAATCCACAATTTCTAGAAATCATTTTCTGCTATTTTGGGATTATTTATGAAATTTCCCTTATCCAATACATACATTTTCTGATGGGCTCTTTGTATAGTCATGAAGTTACCATTTGACATTATTCTATTTTTTTTCTTAGCTCCAAAGGTAGATATGACCAGTGCAGTCAGAGCCTCTACTGCTCCAAGTACAAGATAATAGCAAACTGATGAGAAAGAAGTCTGAAACCTTCAATCCTCAAAAGTACATATGATTCTTCTCTGTACTGAGGTTAGGAAAGAGGAGAGCAAAGCTGATGCTCTCTCCTCTCCTGACTGCTATGACCAAGTAATTAATTTTCAGGGGCTTGGCTGAAGGCTTTTAAGTACTAAGTACTAAGGAAATAGAATGTCCTACTCTGTTGAATACAAAATGGGTCAGTAATTTATACATACCCCAGTGGGCATCATGAAGTTTCCTCCAACCACTGTAAACACTTTCTTGTTCAAAACCACTCCAGTTCATCTAGTTGCTTTCTACAACACTTAAATTGATCAAGCACTTTTTCTAAATTTTTTCTAAAGCTTACGGAGATGTCCAGGTGGAAACAAAACACGATAAACAGTCTAGATGGATTTTCAACTGAGAGGAGAATCGTATTACTTGCTTCAAAAGTGTTGAGCCATTATCTGACTAAATCCCTAGCATTGCAAGAACATATATTTAGATCTAGAAGGAATCTCAAAGGTCATTGAATTTAAACCACTTAACTGATGACAGACATTAAAGGGGCAAAAATGATTAAATGACTTGCTCAGAATCACACAAGAAATAAGTCACACAGAGGCAGGATTTGAACTGAGATCTTCTGATTCAAAATTCAAGGCATTTCCTAAAGCCCTCTACTCTCTTAATATGTGGTAGGAAATCACAAATAAAGGAACAATAATTAGGATCACAATACATTCATTAATGAAAGGAAAGTTCAATCTCGGATATTTTCAGCATTTATAAAATTAATACATAGATGTGATACATCCAAAATTTTCAGCCAAGAAAAGCACTGTATGTACTATGAAAAAAAGAGATACGAATAGATTTCCTAGAGTTTAAAAAGAAATAGATGCTTCAATAAATCCTTTGATTGTAACAAGGGCTCCCAGTCAAAAATTAAATATTATTTAAAATTAATATTTCTCTAGTAAGAATAAAATAATTAAGAAAATGTAAAAAGCTCTGCAATATTTTATTGAGAAAATCACCAAACTATTCAAAATGGGAAAAAATAGACCTAGGAAAGGAAAAAGAAGCAATTCCAAAGTTATGGTCCTATCTTTTGGGTAGAAGAAGTCCAATTTGGATAATCTACACAATTATTGTTGCAAGAAAAAAGTCTGTTTAGAGTAGTTTTGTTACACTGAGGTCAGTAGTAAAAAAAAAATGATAATAATAAGAAAATGTATATTCCCTTTCCACAGATAAGATATAGAAAACATAAACCTAACAATTACAACACTAAATGAAAGTAGAAACATTTGCAAACAATACAGTCACAAAATGAACTGTTCAGTTCTCTCATGG